GCTGTATGTATTTGAAGTATCTTTCAGTCTAAATACAGGAATAATGACCGTACGTTGTATTCCGGCGAAGAAGGGTAGGTAACCCTGCACCACCGTACCTTGTATGTCTGACATTACAGCAGAAATCACCCATTGTCCGCCGTGCCGACCAGATACATTCTGACATCGGCTGATCCGGGGATCTGCAAGTGCAACCGGGCTATGAGGGAAGAAGTACGTGCATCTGGATCCGTGCCAAGCTATATCCAATCATCCAAGCGCATTCTGATAGCCTTTGCATTGCCGTCCCTCTGGTAATAATTAGCATTCCTCGCTCCAATGCATCGGGCAAGAATGCATCTGGTCGGGAAAAGAGACCACGTTCGTGCGTGATCCGTACCAGGATACCTCTGCCACAGTCTGGCAGAACAATTTGTATTTTTTTTGCTTACATCTCCAAGCACGCTGCCAGAAAAAAAAAATCAGAGAAACCCGCTTGTAGGGGTTTCCTTTTCGGGAGTCGGATAGACTCCTTTGATTATGAGTTGGTGCATTCTAGATTTAGGCAGTGGGTCTGTGTAGAATAGTTCGGGCTGCAGTCTACTGGGGTTCTGTGTCTGTGTCAAGGTGTTGCATTTTTGGCGGCGGGCGACCAGGACCCAAAGTGGGTTCTTGGGGGGCAAAAAAAATTGGGGAACCGGTCCTTGCCAAAATTGCGGACTACCTACAGCTAGCTCTGGTAGAACCGGGACTTTTGGAAAAAGGAAGGACCGGTCCTCGGGTGGAAGTGGACCCCAAAAAGAAGTGGGGGTGGGGTAAGGGCCCTCAGGCCCAGGCGTTGAGGCCCATCTTCTCAAAACAGGGAGGTCAGGCGCAACGAAACAGGCATTTTGGAAGAGGCACCTTTGGCGATTTTCTGCGCTCAGAAGAACCCACAGAAAAATCTGAAATTTTGAGAATCCATATATGAGGTCATGTTCTTTCTAGGAAAAATATTAGAACATTTTTAAGAAATCATTTAGACCGAGAAATAATCGTCGCGCCGATAGGGCACATTTTCCATTTTTGCCACTCAGCCATGTGTGGGCCAACTTAAGTACTCCAAATTCAGTGAGTTTTCACTCTCAGAAGAATGCGTGAAAAAAGTACTGGTAGATTTTGTTGTGATCTTTCCAGGAAAAACGCTAAATAAATTAAACAAAATCATTCCAACTGCGAAATAGATCGCGGCCGCAATTTGACTCATATTTCAATTTTGCCATTCAGCCTCTCTCTCTCTCTCTCTCTCTCTCTCTCTCTCTCTCTCTCTCT